ATAACATTTTTCCTTTATAATATCGAAGAAAATAGTAAGATCTTGTAGATTCTTGCAGTACAGGAGCAGACCAATATACTTGCAGTACAGGGCTAAGCAGAATGCTCGCGTTGAGCGTTTTTTGTTATCGCGTTAACGCACGCGCAGCTCCGAAGCGCTGCGCACATCAACTTAGAGCGTTTGTGTTATCGTTTCCTTGTGGTTGTTGTATTTTCGATAACACAAAACGCAACGGATGGCTCAACGCAAGCATTCTGCTTAGCCCTTTAAGGGCTAAACAGAATGTTCGCGTTGAGCGTTTTTTGTTATCGCGTTAACGCACGCAAAAAGTTAAAATATATTTAACTTCAAAGCGCAGCGCACATCAACTTCATGCGTTAGTGTTATCGTTTCCTTGTGGTTGTTGTATTTTCGATAACACAAAACGCAACGGATGGCTCAACGCGAGCATTCTGCTTAGCCCTTTACAGGAACATACCAAGAATTTTCGATTTCGATGTTAGTTGACCGGACCTGATGATTAATCGATTAGTCGAATGTCGACTTACATATCCCTAGTTTTAATTGATCGTGTTCATCGGGAAGGGAAAGAAGAAGGTAATTTTTATTTTTGTAATAAAAAACGCACGAGAATATTATTAAATTAGAAATTAGGACAAAAGTGCCCGAAATGAATGGATGGTGATGCAGAACTTTACAATTAAAAAAAAGGATTACCAGAAGTCATAGCATCCTGACCAGTACAAGCAAAACAATTTCAAGAGACTTTGTTGTGACCACGTTTGATTGAGAGCCACAAGAAAAATACTACGAGAATAGAAATTCAAATTCATTCATGAACAAACTTGTAACAAATATTTTTAGAGTTGCAACTCCCTTAACATTAAAGAATTCCCAACTATTACGGCAACGTCACTTTTGGAAAAACATGGACAGTGAATTGTTGCAACCGCCCTGTAAGGTACAAGGCATGCTCGAATTGAAGAGGGAAAAATTTGCTAAAGCCATACAAGTTCCACGTTTATGGGTTCGCGAGGAAAAAGCACAGAAAGTGTTGCCAGTGGTTAAGAAGCTATTGTTGAAAATGGAAAAACTGAAACCTGTGAAACCCTGCACTCTAAACGAAATTAATGGCAGGGAAATACTTCTGCATCCCACTCCTGTCAAGCAATGGGAGGATTTACCATGCAGTGAATTGGAACAGCATGAAGTGGGCAAGGATAATTTTGCATTTACCCAAATACAGCTGACCTATGACAATTGGCGGGCGGATGAAATCCTCAAAGCGGTCTTACCCAAAGATGAAGAAGGTTTGACATCGTATTCACGCATTGGTCACATTGTCCATTTGAATTTGCGTGATCATCTGTTGCCTTATAAGAATTTGATAGGATTGGTACTACTGGACAAGGTGGCCAATTGTAAAACAGTTGTGAACAAAGCTTCCACCATTGACAATACCTATCGAAATTTCCAACTGGATTTGCTGTGTGGCGAACCCATCTATCAAGTGGAGACCAAAGAGAATGGAGTATTTTTTGAATTCGATTTCTCGAAGGTCTATTGGAATCCTCGACTCTCCACTGAACATGAACGTATTGTTCAAATGTTAAAGCCAGGCGATGTGCTGTACGATGTATTTGCTGGTGTGGGTCCATTTTCCGTGCCGGCTGCCAAAAAGAAATGTACTGTCCTGGCAAATGACTTAAATCCCGAAAGTTTTAAATGGTTGCAGCACAACTTGAAACGCAACAAATGCCAGAGTATGGCCCAATCATTTAACAAAGATGGTCGGGATTTCATTTTGCATGAAATCAAAGAAGATTTATTGAAACGCTGGCAATCGAAGGACGAAGGAAAATATAAAATTCACATTACCATGAATTTGCCTGCCATGGCTGTTGAATTTTTATCAGCCTTTCGGGGGTTGTTTGAGAAGGAATGTCTGGAAAATGTCATTGATTTCAAACAGGATAATTTGAATTATCCTTTGGTCCATGTTTATTCCTTTGCCAAGGGTACCAATACCAAGGAATTGGTATTACAACTGGTCGAAGATAATCTTAAAATGCCACTTAAAGAGAATCTAGAAGGCATTTACTTTGTGCGTAATGTGGCGCCCAATAAGGATATGTATAGGGTGTCATTCTATTTAACCAAGGATATGGTGACACAAGCAATTGCCACACATCCTGAAGAAGAAACAAAAACTGAACAACTTAAACGTAAGGCAGAGGAAACAGAAAATGAAGAATTATCGGATGTTTCCAAAAGTAAAATTAAATGTCCTTATTAGTTGTTATTTTATTCATTAATATTTTATTTTATTAATAAATAATGTTTTGTACAAATTGTAAATACTTTTGTTTTTCTTCTTATAGTTTAAACAAAAATGGGTCGCAGGTCAAAGCAAAAGTCAGGAGCAATTGCTGCCAAAAAGACTAAAAACATTTTCAAGGTTAATGATGTCAAGCAAAAGAAGAAACCCAAAGAAGTTCAGGGCAAACTTAAAAAGGTACAACAAAACAACCAAATACCTTCTACGACATCATTATAATTTAATTATTTTCTTTATTTCATTTCAGATCAAAGAGGCAGTTACCAAAAAACAAGAAAAAGTCGATGCCAATCTACGTGAACTCCACAAAGATTTGGTGGTAAAGAAACCACAAGCATCCACCTCGAAACCTCTTAAGCCCGGCAAGAAACCAGCGGCAAACACCAAAAATGTTTCAGATAAATTGGGTGATTTGAAATTCTAAAAAAGAAAAGCAAAAACAAATCTATATGGAAACATAAATGCCGTAGTTGTGTTTTCAATAAGGCCTTCCACGTACTTCCAAGACTTTACCCATTTTGTAATCCCATCCATTTTTTAGTTTTAGTTGTGTTTATTTTTAGTTTTAGTCATCAAATTAGCAAATCATGTACTTTTAATGATCAATACAATCGTACATTGTAAACATCTAAATGAAAATGATTGATTATGAAATGTATTCATATCAAAACAAAATATATAGCCCCCCCATAACACCACCGTAATATTGACTGATAAATTTTAATGTGTTTTATTGTAGAAAATAATCTGAATAATATGAATGAATGAAAATACTACAAGAATATAAATTCATTCATAAAGAAACGTGTAATAAATATTTATAGAGTTGCAACTCCCTCATCAAAGAATTCCCAACTTTTTCGGTAACGTCGCTTTTGGAAAAACATGGGCTGTGAATTGTTGCAACCCCCTTATGAGATGCAAAGCATGATAGACTTGAGAAGGGAAAAATTTGCTGAAGGTATTCAGTTCCACGTTCATGGGTACGCGAGGAAAAATCTCAAAAAATTGTTGCCAATGGTTAGGAAGCTATTGCTGAAAATTGAAAAGCTAAAGCCTGTAAAATCATATACTCTTAACGAAATCTATGCATGTAATTCATTAGATTCTAGGGTCTTGGCGTATTTAAAGTCTCATTGGAGGCAATTTCGGGGTTTAGCGTTATCCTACTGTTAACGACATCCCTATCCGTTCACAGGTGTTTAAAACCATGTCTGCATTTGGCATTCCTGCAAAATCAATACGCCTATACAGGATAACTTTAACTGATAATAGTTCAGCAGTTAAAGTCGGAAAGGACCTCTCAGAGCCTTTCAATACCGAACGAGGATTCGGACAAGGGGACTGTTTGTCGTGTGACCTGTTTAACATCTGTACATCAAACCGCATATTTTACTCGCCTACGCAGATGACATCGACATAATGAATCGAACATTGCGAGTAGTAACAGCGGCAGTAAATGGCGAAAAGACCAAGCAGATGGTATCAACGCGCAAGACGTCCAGTAGACTCAGACCAACTGTGAAACGTGAAAACTACAGCTTCGAGGTCAAATCGAGAACGATTTTATATATATCGGTCCCGCCACCAAAAAACTAATAACATCAACTTTGAAATCCGGAGGAGAATAGTGTTGGCCAACAAATGGTACTATGGTCTGAGTGAGCAACTCAAAAGCAAGGCCACCTCTATCCAGACCAAACTCACGCTCTACAAGACGCAGATATTACCCGTTCGGTTGTATGGATCCGAAGCATGAGAACCGGCACAAGCAGATAATGCAGGTCTTGGAGTGTTTGAGAGAAAAATTCTCCGTCGACGGTGACTATAACCGTGAAATGAACCATGAGATATACCATATATTCTCGGACATCGACATAGTCAGACGGATCCAGCTGCTGTGACTATGTTGCCTAGGTAATGTTGTGAGAATGGTTTATTATGCCCCCACTTAAAAGGCATATACAAGCGAGCCAAGTGAAGGTTGTCGCAGAAGGGGAAGACCACGAATGCAATGGAAAGATAATCTAGAAGACAATATCTCGGAAAATGGTCTATCAAATTGGATGAGATGCGCACAAGACCGATGCGCCTGGAAATATTTTTTAAGCTCGGCTTATGGAACAACGTTCTGTCATAAGCCAGTACCTAAGTGAAGGTTGCCTATCTATATGTTTCTGGTTCCGAATGAGTGATTAAATCTGATTCTGTTAACGGGAGTGGGCCAAAAGTCACGGTTCTAAGCTTTAAAGGAGTGGGAATATCAGCAATTTTTTATTATCAAGAATTAAACATGTAAAACCAATGCTTTAAAAATTTTCATTAGCGGAATTGACAATGTTTTGGACACCTCTGACACTGAGATATGACAATGTTTACAATACTTTTCTACAACGATTAATAGTTAAAGAATTCAAAAAGAATAAAAACAATGCGATAAGCAGACAACAATTTCTAAATAACATCACAAGAATCATTCGTGGAATAATGGACATACCGGACATACATATAATACATTTCCAAAAAAAATTGTATTTAATCTTATCTCCCAATTTTAAAACTTTCATCAGATAACAATTAATTAGAATTTCGAAAATGAAAGATATATAAGCATCCTCCAACAGCATATCGAAAATAGTTTTTTTACGATTATCTAACGACAATGAAGTGTATAACGGTTTTGGCACTACTTTTAGCCTGTACCATGGGCTCAATGGCCCTGGTGCCGCCACCTGTTAATCCCAGTGGACCAGTAGCTGTTATTCCCACCCCACCACCAGCACCGACAATGGCTCAGGATTTAACTGAAATTATGACAATGGTAAACATGATCCAATTGCGCCAACTATTGACTCGCTACCTCCTAAACGATGCCCAATTCCAAGCTTTTGTTCGCATCATCAACTCCCAAGATGCCTATGTGACCTATATGCGTTTCCGTTCGCAACCTGAAGTTTTCGGTTTCATTGCCTGGGTGAGAGCACAAATTATGTTGTCGGGCGGTGAATTCCAATTGGAAGAATCTGAAGAACCAATGACCATCATCAATCAGACACCATTCTGGGCTAATACCGTATTCGGATGGCAAGGATTTGTCAATGAATTCCTGTTGTATTATCCCGAAACTATGATTCGTATGCACATCACCACGAAGGTGGCTCAAAATGGTATCTTTACACAATTCTGGAATCGTTTGAAGGCTTTGAAACCGGTGTATGAGCGTGTTATTGCTACTCCCGAAGCCCAACGTGTTGCCGCTGCTTTGCAACAGAATGGTATTGATATTGTGCAATTGGATACATTTATTCGCAATCAATTCGGTTGGCAAATGCCACCAACATTGGCTCCCTCAACAACTGCTGTTCCCGCGGCATCATCTACTGCTGCTTCTGGACCAGTTGATGTCCCTTTAGTTCCTGTTGTTTAATTTATTTAATTTTTATTATCTTAAATAAATGTGTGTAAATGTGTATGACGTGTTATTAAAATAAACGAAAATAAACGAATTTTTCCATCGAAGTGGTTATAAATTGGCATACCGGATTTTCAGTTTTATTCGCCACTTCGATGAGAAACTTCTTTCCGAAAATTAGTAGAAGTCCCCATACAAAGGTCACGTATAATTTTCGGTATTTTTAAGTTTGTAGTTTAGTGCTTCGTTTTGTCCTGGAAGTAATTTAACAGGACTGTCCACCATATCCTCATCGTGGTGGAGTTCAGAAAAAGTTCGCACTAGTCGAACTAATTGAAGTTTTTAATATGTTTCATCGTTCTTAGGTTTCATAATATACACCATATGAAGTTGGCACCCAATGTTCGCTATTTTAAATGTCTTACCATCTCATAAAAGACTATCAATTTAGGTCCATATTTGGTCCCATCCAATTTCTTGGAAGTCTTCTAGAAACCATACATATTATCTAGAGAAGACCCTTAGACGGTAATATTTACAATGAGGTCTCATAGATTATAAATTTGTCAGAAGAATAGTAATCTTTATAATCTACAATTTATACGAATTTTATTGGTCGGCGATGGACCAATTATTGAAGGGCGATGGAAATTTGCGAATATTGATAACATGTAAAAAGAAGAAAGAACAAGAAAAACGCGAGTGCAAGCAAATCGAGATGTACAGGAGTTAGAATGAAGTCCGGAAATTTTACCAACGAGTAAAACATCAAACCGAAGGCTTTGGTAAAGGCACATCCACTTGAAGAGATTACGATGGAAACCTGGTGACAGATACATATATCGTGTTAAGGATCTGGAAGGAGTATTTTGCAAAGCTTCTGGTATCAAATAGTGACGGCATAGAGTATTATCGTGTATCAAGTATTCGGCTGAAGAACAATAAAAGTGCAGGTGACGATGGATTACCAGCCGAACTATTCAAGACCGGTGGACAGATGCTGGTACGGAGCATGCACCAAATGATTAGTACAATTTGACTAAAGGAATAAATGTCCAATTATTGTAACCTCAGCATCCTGTGTCAAGTGCACAAAAAAAGGAGACAATACGACATGTGCCAATTATAGAGGAATAAATCTCCCTCCCATCGCATATAAACTGCTATCCAGCGTGCTGTCATTGACTGAAGCCTGGCTTCAGACCTGGAAAATCCGCAAATGACAGATTTTCACTCTTCCCCAAATCCTGGAGAAGGACCACGAAAACATATCGACACATTCCACCTATTGCATTCGACAGCCCTATCCGTTCAGTGGTATTTAAAGTCGTGTCTGCGTTCGACATTCCTGCAAAATTAAGTCGGATAGGACCTCTCGGAGCCCTTCAATTCCGAACAAGGACCATCTTGAACATCTCGCTGGAAAATGTCATACGATCCCGAAAAAAAACTAATAACATCAGCTATGAAATCCGGAGGAGAATAGAGTTGGCCAAGATATACTAGTATGGTCTGAGTAAGCAACGCAAAAGCAAGGCCACTTTTCGCCAGACCAAACTCGAACTCTACAAGACGCTGATATTACCAGTGCTGTTGTATGGATACTTGCGCAGCTCTTGGAGTGTTTGAAAGAAAAATTCTCCGGATGATCTATGGGACGATCTGCGTCGACGGTGAATATCGTCGTCGAATGAAGCATGCGCTATACAATGTATTCTCGGACATCGGACGGATCGAACTGCAGCAACTATGTTGGTTAGCCCCCATACAACACTATTTTCCACATTTCGGATTTTTGTGGTGTTTGGGCGCCTGTTTCATTCAAATTGGCTGTGATTTGGTTAGGTCATATTGTGAGAATAGATGGAGATGCCCCAGTTCAAAAGGCATTTAAAAGCGAACCAACTGATGGCTATGACAAATTTGTTTTTCTGGATTCTTAAAATACTCGGCAAAGTCTTTCATCCCTATAAGAAGAATTCTGGCCCAGACCATTACCTCGATTTTGTGTCACAGTGTAAGAAGAGGATCTGTAGATATACATATTTTCTTCAATTCTAGAAACTCCTATATTTTTAAATATACAAAAACTAGATCTAATTATATCCCGCATAATAAGACCTTTACTCCCAAAGCAATTACATTATTATTCCTTATTAGTCACTATTGGCAAAAGACCTGTAGAAGGTTTTCAACTCGAAGAAGTTCCATCTATAAAAAATCTGTAAAATAATGATATTTTTATAGAAAATCTGCTATATGTATTCTAATCTAAAATTCCAATCCCAAAATTATTACGTATTACCTATCATAAATTATTATTTTATATTTAGTGTATCCAAAAAACAGATTAGTCACACGCGACAAAAGTAAAGAAGATTCATAAAATCAACAATAACAATTTTCGCAGGAAAAAAATATACACAAAATATTATCTAATAAATAAGTCGAAATTTTGCACATTATAGCTTGATAATGGAATTTACTGGTCTGCGACAAATCCCTTTGTCAACAATAACAAATAACATCAACGCAGAACCTCAACTCAGCATCATCTGAATCATCAGCAGAAGAATGGCTGACATATGTTGACCCCTTCAAAACAACGAAAACGTAATATCTAATTTTCATCTTATCTCAGTATTGATAAGAATTACCAAAACATTCCAAAAATTTATCTGAGAAGACTGGTAATATAATAACCGTTAGCGAATTATAAATCATAGTACTACTCCGACGAAAGCCCAACAATTCGAAACGACAAGTTAGCGGGAGAGAAACGATGAAATACCTATTAACATTCACACTCATTGCCATGTGTGCCATGGGCAGCATGGCCTTGGTGGTATCAAAACCAAATCCTGGAGCTGTTGTTGTGCCCACACCACCACCTGCACCCACCATGGCTCAAGATTTAGATGAAATTATGCGTATGATCAACTTCCTGCAAATCCGCCAACTGATGAGCCGTTATCTGCTCAACGATGCCCAGTTCCAGAGTTTTGTACGCATCATCAACTCCCAGGATGCCTATTTGACCTATATGCGTTTCCGTTCCCAGCCCGAGGTTATGGGTTTCATTGCCTGGGTAAATGCCCAAATTCTATTGTCCGGTGGTGAATTGCAATTGGAAGAATCTGAAGAGTTTATGACCATCTTTAATCCCACACCCTTCTGGGCTAATACCGTTTCGGGATGGCAAGGATTTGTCAATGAATTTTTGTTCTATTACCCGGTCGATATGATCAACATGCATATTAATATGAAGGTGGCCCAGAATGGTATCTTTGCTCAGTTTTGGCTTCGCTTGAAGGCCTTGAAACCGGTATATGATCGTGTCATCGCTTTGCCTGAGGCTCAACGTGTTGCTGCTGCTCTACAACTTAGTGGTATTGATATTATCCAACTGGATACTTTTATTCGTAATACATTTGGCTGGCAAATGCCTCCCACATTGGCCCCAACCACAACAACTACAACCACTACCACCACAACTGTTGCTCCAGTTAGCTCAAGCACAGAAGCTGTACCCTCATCTACTGTGTCCGTTGTATCTTCCACCGTGGCAGTGCCTTCCTCTACAGTATCTGTGCCATCAGTTGAACCCTCAGTCGGTGCTCCAGTAGCTCCCGAGGTTGTTCCCTCGTCCACCACAGCTGTGCCATCAGTTGAACCCTCTGTTGTTGCCCCCGTAGTTCCCGAAGTTGTTCCAGCTCCTGCTGCTTAATTCTCATTTAATTAAAAACATGTTTGAGTCAATTAATTTATTTCGAGTAAACTATTTGAATTTTAAAATTTTAAATAAATATTTGTAAATATAAACTATGTTTATGTTTCCGTACTTTTTCATAGTAAAGCTATTGAAAAGCTTCTCTCGAGAAATATAGAAGCTGTTCGAGCACAAAATAAAAACGGGAATCAGAAGACCGGTAGAGTGAATAATGTACTTTCCCAAGGTGTAGTAATTTCTCCGAAACTACTAAAAGGTTAATAGTCTATATATATATATATATATACAAATCAATTCAGAAGTACCGAACGTGTGTACGGAATATAGCTTTGGGTTCTGATATGGTAGCTACTCTTTCTCATTTAAATTTCATTAGCTACTAACGATCATATACAATATTGAGAGTGGTTGAAATAAAGAAACAATGGAATGTAAAAATAGTCAAAATCGAGTGACTGGAAAGTCGGCGGTTGTTAGCAACAGAAACAGTAGTCAAATATACGGTTGCAAATATAAAAACATCCACCGAAAATTTTTTTGTCAAAAAGGAGAGAGAGGGAAAATTAGCGCAAATAGTAGAAACTAGTTTTGATATTAATGACATGTTTACATTTTTTTGAAAAAATGGCTTCTCATGAATATTCTAAGCGAGATACATGTAATTAATGGAAAAATTAATTATGAATGGAACTATGACAATATTCATTAACATCTTTTTTGTGCAGTTCGATTGTAAAGAGGAGAAACGTATTTTTCGAAAAAAGAAGAAAGAACAAGAAAAACGTGAGCGGGAGCAAATGGAGATGTACAAATGAAGCTGACGGTATAGATTGTATACCACCTAGCCAAGATGAGGTCAGAAGAGCAATTAATCGGCTGAAGAATAATAAAGCAGCAGGTGCCGAACTATCCTGCGTGCTGAGTGAAAGACTGAAGCCAATGGTCGCTGTAAAGCCGCAGCCCTATCAGTTCAGAAGCAGAGCTCCGATTTGCTCGATTTTACTCGCGAGTGAAAAATACTCCCGAGTGGGAGTATGTAAAGAGTACGAGTTTTTTAGGGAGTATACTCTCCACTCTTTTATTTTGTTTGGGAGTGTTCGCGAGTACTCCTTGTTGAAGAAAAAGAGTCAAAATGTTCGAAATAGAGTAAGAGTTCACTCTAAGAGTGAAATCGAGTGGACAAATAAATTTGGTTGTTTGGTTATTTGTGTGTGTGTAGTAGTAAAATTTTTTTGATGTTGATCTTTTGTGTGCTGTGGGGAGATAGATCATGTTCAAAAAGCATAAAAGGACATTGATTATTTTGTTTATTGAAAATGTTTACACAAGTGAGGTACAAATAAAAATCTTATATGAAATTACTTACATAAAGAGAACGCAGAGAACGAGCTTGTTGAAGCATCCTTTCTCAGCAGTACTGCAAAATAAACATCACAAAAAGAACACACAATGCACACAAACAACATCAAGTAAAACAACGGTATCACAAAAAAAAGAGTACTCGGCAAGAGTGTAATCCAGGCATGCTTACCCATATACGCTACCGTAACTGAGGCTCGATGGGTAAACACATTTTCTCTTTCTTTCTCTTTGCGTCAGTCGTTTTTAATTGTGAATTCTCAGTTACGCTCGCACAAACTTGCTCTCAATTTAATTTTGCCCAACACTGGTGTAATCTGCTCGATTTCGAGCGTATTTCACTCCCACTCGAAAACGAACGAAGCACTTGCGCTCTTGTTTGAGTGGCAGAGAAAAATAGAGTATACTGTATTTACTTTTTCTACTCGCAGGAGTACTCCCGAGCGAGTTTCACTCTTTACTCGAATTCGAGCGAGCATTTCGGAGTTCTGTTCAGAAGTGTTTTAAACCATGTCTGCGTTCGACATTCCTGCAAAATTAATACGGCTATGCTGGATAATTTTAAATGGTACATGGTCAGCAGTTAAAGTCGGAAAGAATATCTCGGAGCCCTTCAATAACGAACGAGGAGGTCATACGAGAGGCAAAGGTGAACGGACATGGGACAACACATGTTACTCGCCTACGCCGATGATACCGACATAATGGAGCGCTAACAGCTCCCTTTAAACAAATTGAGAAAGAGTCTGCCAAAGTGGGCCAGGCAGTATATGGCGAGAAGATCAAGCTGATGGTATCAATGCGCAAAACGTCTAGTAAACTCGGACCAATTGTGGAACTTGAAAACTACAGCTATGAGCTAGTCAAATATTTTATACACCTCGGTATTAGTCTTGTGTCTTTGGTGAACTATCTAATTCAATTGAACGAGTCAGTCCACTGAAGGAGTGAACGACATAGTTCAATGTATATTATTGTCGTTCATTGAACGATTTTGATTACCAAACGTCATCGGTCACTGAACGACACAGAATTTTGTTCTACACCTTCAGTGTCGTTCAGGGGTGCTTTGGCTTTTACCAACTGATCGGCGTCAAACAAGATGAACTTCATGTAAAATCGGATACATTGAAAAAAGACACTCGGAAAATTAGTTCATTGCGGTGTTCAAAAGACCAAATACAAATACTGCATTAATTTTTTAAGCATAGCTAGGGGCACAGTAAATCATTTGAAGTGGCATTTAAAAGGATAAAGGGCTAAGCAGAATGCTCGCGTTGAGCCATCCGTTGCGTTTTGTGTTATCGAAAATACAACAACCACAAGGAAACGATAACACTAACGCATGAAGTTGATGTGCGCTGCGCTTTGAAGTTAAATATATTTTAACTTTTTGCGTGCGATAACGCGATAACAAAAAACGCTCAACGCGAACATTCTGTTTAGCCCTTAAAGGGCTAAGCAGAATGCTCGCGTTGAGCCGTCCGTTGCGTTAAGTGTTATCGAAAATACAACAACCACAAGGAAACGATAACACAAACGCTCGAAGTTGTTGTGCGCTGCGCTTCGGAGTTAAATATATTTAACTTTTTGCGTGCGTTAACGCTATAACAAAAAACCCCCAACGCGAACATTCTGTTTAGCCCTTAACCCCCATTTGCTTTAAGGGGACCTCCCCCCATTCTCGGGGTCAAACAATTTTTTGATTTAATTCGAATCTACACTAATTCAAGAATATACCTATAAAATTTCAAGTGAAAATCTCAATAACTCTTGAAGATATAACCGATTTATTGTGTCAGCATCAATTGACGGCTAAAGGGCTTCTCAAACTTCAAATGCGTTTTTCTCTTTTGCGAATGGCGGGCACGATAACTCAAAAACTAATAACCAAATCGATTCAAAAAATTTTACACGTTTCTCTGTGAGTGTATAGCTATCGTATGAACTAGGATAAAGCCAATCGGTGAAGATCTTCCTTATTTTTTACCTTGGTTTTTGGTCAAAAATCGGCGATTTTCCAAAAATATTTTTTCAAAGGTCCGCCATTTTGTTAATTTTAGAGCGAGGTCAATAATCCTATTTCATACGAGAGCCAGACATGTACTCTTTCTAACACCGTTGGAATATATATGTGCAAAGTTACAAACCTAAATAAGTATTGGTATTGATTTACCAGCCCATTGAAAATCTTGAAAAATTAAAATCGAGAATGGGAGGGGTTCCCTTAATTGACTCCCAAAGACAGTCGGTAGAAGGGAGCTGGAAACCCCGGTGTCCGGGAGCTGGCACAGGTGTCCAGAGCAACAACTGTAGTGCAAACAAATGTGCAGCCGAATATAAGAAAATAGATAGTCGGATTCATCACGCTGTCAAGGATAATGTGCTGCATGACCAAACATCGAGTACTCCTTTGTGCCAGAAAAGCTTGAATACTCACTGAAAAAGGGAAAATCTCCGATCAACATTGCAAACAGGGCTGTGATCGTGCGACCTCAGATATGCATGACCTATAATATGCGGTTGTCAAAAAGTCATAGTCCAATACATATATGCATTATTAAATAAACAAAAATGTGTACATTTTTTATTTTATTTATTTTTATTATTATTTTAACGTATACCAAAAAAAGTAAAAATGTTTAACGGTTTTTACGATCAGTTTTTTTTTAATTTAACAAGACATGCACAGAAACAAATACTTAAGGGGGAGATTGATGATAAATACTACAAAATAAGAAGAAGATTAATAAAATAATTATAAATCCAATTTTGTTTGGCATTACAATTTAATAATTAGCAATAATTATACAAAGTTCATATATAAATTAAAAATACCTTACAAATAAAAAACACTTGTTGTTGGCATTATTTTTTAAACATTCTCTCTAACGATTATTGGTAGTTAATCCTTTTTGCGTTTCAACCAACTGGGTATGCATTTGCTGATGGCTTCACCCAACTGTCGATAGATCATCAGGGCCAATATGGGCAGTACCAGTCTTGCATCTTTGAACAAGTAAATATAGCATGCAACCAAAAAAAGAACCATATCGGTGGAATAGGAAATGGCGGAGCGTACTTTTTCATGAGCCTCTTCATCGGACAATGGAGTCGATGGTCGTGGTACAACATCCATGGATTCTTGTGAGGAAGAGGTACTCAATAAAACTGATTGAGAAATGTCATTGTCAATTCGTTTGTTGGTGGCATCCAATGTCAGGGGTCTACGTCCTAGGGGACCTGGTGATCGGGATTCTGCTGTGGCTGATCTACGTGTTCGTGAAAGTGTTCTGGATGTGGGTAAATCATATGCAGCACTCGATGGTGGCCTACTGAGTGATGTATCACGTGACCGTGTTCCCGATGGCATTCTCTTTTTGATAATTCGTTTCACTTTAACCAAACGGGGTCGACCACGAGAATCGGGACGTTCTTCTACAGTCTCACTGATAACGGTTGTAGTTACGATTTCTTCATCTTCCACAGCCGGTGGTGTTGTTGGCAATGATGTGGGGGGTGAAGAAGGAGATGTTGCAGACACAGACTCTTTTCTTGCTACATCCACCGCGTTGTGTTCGGCCGAATCGGAAAACGTCAATGTGGCATTGTGTTCACTTGGTGTTTCGGATTCTGGTTCCGCTTTGAAAGTGTCATGCTTCACGGACATATTACTGGCGGTATCCCGTACATGCATTAGCTGACCTCTTTCCGATATCGAAAGTCTTGGTTTATTACTAATGGGCGGTATAAGGGCAATGTCAGGACTGTGTGATCTTCTCTGCTGTAGCGTATTGTAATCGGTATCATCCTCATCTGCCCCGTTATCCTGCTTGACCTTTTCGCTTATCTTCTTCAGTTCCTCCTGGTCCATGTAGAGCGGTGTATGATATTTCCTAGTTGTGCTCACCTGTTGTACCAGCTCACTGTAGTGATCTGCAGCTGCACGAGCCTCCTCCATCATAGCCCGTTCGGCTTCTTTTCGCTTACGCTCCTCTTCCTCCTCTTTGGCTTTACGTTTGGCCTCCGCCTCAGCTTTCAGTAGTGAGGCATTGGTTTTCTCCTGCGGATTTGAAATCATTTCATTCTCTTCGGTATTTCTTTCGGTGGCGGAACGTTTATCTCTCTTGAAGAATGACTTGATGCCCTTGGCAATATCCAATTTATCACTGGCCGGACTTTCGGGCTTGACATTTGATGATGGACTGTTCGGTGGTTCCATGGACTGGTTATTATTTGCTTGCAGAACATTCTCATAGGAAGGTCGCTTAAGAATGGGTTTCGGTACAAAATCAGGACTGGGCAATGGTACAGGTCTGGTCAGCACCAAGGCAGCTTCATCGGGAGTTGGTGCCCGATATGGGGTGAATACCCCTGCCGACATATTCCGTGGATGATAGGTTTCCAATTCTCTAGGACTGGGCGAATGTGTACGGGCCATTAATTCCATTTTGAATTTTTCTATGGAATCCGCATCCGATGAAGCTGTACTCTCCGTGTAGTCGGAACCCAAATCGTAGCTATCCTCTCGATGATTGGGTTCACTCCGGGTCTGATATTCATCACTGATTTCACCACTCTCTTGGCTCTCCTGACGTTTGTTGTACATTTGAGGCATTGTGCGGGACAGCGGTTTCATATCGCCGATATTTTCCTTCGAGTTCCATTTGTGTAGTGCCGATGATTTGATGTCGTGGGCAATGTCGGCTGACTGCCTTCTCATTTCACTACGTTTCTCGAAGGATAAACGTTCCGCTTCGGTCATGGAACCCAAACGTTTGCGCACATTTGTGGGGGCGGCAATTTTGTCTTGAGATATTTTCAGTTTTCGGGCCTTTTCCGCCTCCTCCAGCTCTACAGCCTCGTAAAAGCGGGCCATAGCTCGCTCGTACAACAATTCCGTAGAGCTGACCGAACGTCGTAAGGGGAACGTGTGCAGGGCTGATGTATACTCCAGCAAAGCTAAATCGGGTGCCGATATGGAAATGGGGGGAGGTTGTATGGCATCCTCTAGATCCAATTCGAAGGAATCTTGCTCTGAAACGAGAAGTTAGATGGAATTAGTAGGAATTCTATAGAAACAATTCGCATGGATATAGGGAGAATGTGGGAAGGAAGTGGAAGGGTAACCGGCACTTACTGTCTTTATCCTTGACCTTGCTGTTCTTGTCGAACACCACAAGCATGAACTCGTTGCTGGTGTGAACTTCGTCATGCTTGTCGGTATTAGACATTTTGCGAGTTGGATTTTGGGATGCCATAGTTTGGGAGTTGACGGTGGGAGTGGCCGCCGCAAAGCTGGTAGTTGTAACATTTTTCGGTGAAGTTGGGGGCGAGGGTGCTGCTGTGGTCACAATTAGCTTGGGTGGAGCACTAATTTCTATGGTTGGGGTTGGTAATGCAGATCGGCCATTTCCGCTGTTGTGGTTGTTGTTGGAGTTGCCATTGAAAGCTGCTTGAGTCTTGGCAACTCCATTTCCCACTGCCTTCACATCGTTCTCTTTGCTCAGAGAACTGGTTGCAATGGCTATGGCCAAAGCGGGTGCATTGCGGGCAGCCGGAGACAAGGCTTGGAGACCGGTAAAACGTGTGGCATTTTGACTTGATCCCAATTTGACGGGCTCTGAGCTGCGTTGCAATGCCGTTGTCGTCGTTGCGGTGTTACTAGTTTTTGTGGGTTTTCCACTATCCGGAGGTGGACTGAGGCTGCGATTACGGGGTTTCATGAAATCAATGATTTTCGAGTTCTCCGCTACCGGGGCAGTTTTTGGTGCTTGTGTGACATTGCTGATGCTTGTTGGCACCTCCTTAGCTTTCAAAATTCCCGGCAAGAAAAGCGATTTCTTTTGAGTCTTTGGTGAACGTTCTGGTGATCGACTTTCTCTTTCGATGGCAGCTTCAATATTCAAAGTCAAATTGTTGGGCATTTTCTCTGTGGTGGGTTTAGCATTGTTTGCAGTCTCCTTAGTTGTGAACGGAGAGGGGCTCTTCCTCACCGATGTCCCATAAGACATTTCACGGTGTAAATCTTCACTATCGAAGACCTGAGGTGTTATCTTCCGAGCAGCCTTGGGTGAGAAGTGACCCACTGTCTCGGTGGCAGCATCGGCAGTTGGTCTTTGTGGCGATAACGTTTTACGTCGAGGTGGCACTGGCTTATTCCCTGCTTCTTCATTGATTTGAATTTGTGAAGTGGGCTTCGTTATACCTCTCTTGGGATCGGGTATAAAAAGTATATCCGACTCCTCGCTTGGTTCACTAACACCATAAGGATTTTCTGCCTTAACACGGAACTTATATTCCGAACCCTCAATCAAGTCGTGCAGTGTCGTACTGAGTGAACGAGTTGTAACCGCCTTAAGCCAGACATTCCAGCCAATGCGAAAGTATTCCACAATGTAATTTCCAATCTTACAACCACCATCATCAATGGGTGCCGTCCATGACAATGTAGCCGATTTACCGAATGACATATTCAGTCGTACCTTGCCGGGTGGGTTGGGTCTAGCCGTTACTGTAACCAAAAATGAAGCAACATCTTCGCCTAATCTGTTGGAGGCCTTAATGCTATACTCGCCCCTATCATCCCGCTGAACATTATCAATTTTTAACATTGAATTTTTATCGGTATTCGTTATTTCAAATCGCCCGCCATTCTGAACCATCTCACCCTCATGCATCCAGGTTATTTGCGGCAAAGGTTGGCCGGCAATGCCCACCTTTAGGCGTAGTGCTTCTTCAGCCTCCACGATGAGGCCATCTTCATAGGTCCGTGGCAAACGAATTTTGGGCGGAGCTTGTACGAAAAGCTTTGCCTTTGTCGCCACGTGACCGGCTCGATTTGTCGCCGTGCACTTGATTTCACCCTCATCGGTCAGCGCCACCTGATGTATGATCAAGACACTAGCGTCGTTGTCGTTTACGATTTTCGTTCGTCGGCTACTGAAAATCTCATAGCCATCTTTGAACCAGCTGATCTCGGGTGGTGGTTGGCCAATGAATTTCACCCGAAATTCGACACGTTCATCTTCGACAGCATGCATATCCTGTAGTTCGTCAATAAAGCGTGGTACGCTGATGGCATTGCGTTGCAGTGTCACTGTTAGTATATCGGATAGTTCACTGGCGTCCGAACGACCAACAATATTCTCGGCAAAAACACGAAATTGATAACGCCAACCTGGTTCCATACCACTTATGGCCACATCACAATTTGTAACGGGTATTGGGGTACTTTTCACCCAGTGAGGCGAGCCCATGCGACGATGTTCGACAATATAGCCGGTAATGGGAGAACCTCCATCGAGTCTTGGACGTTCCCATCGTAGGCAAACGACATCGGGTTGCTGATCCGAAATGGGAATTAGTATAGGACGTCCGGGTGCCGAGGGACGTTCTGTAAAGAAAGAGAGAATGGATTATTAGTAATGGAATCAAACATGCGAAGATGAGAAAATGACGAACTTGATCAAAAGTGACAAAGAATGGGAAGTTTATTATCGAGGCAACCTTTAGTAAGAAGCTGCAACTCAGACTCCAAATTTAGGCTACAGTGGAACATACCCAAAACGTATATGTATCTGCTTGATTAGAGTAAAATGTTATTTCGATGTATCCAAAATGTAAACAGTACAGTTCGATATTCGGCATTTAGAGAATTTCTAACATATTTTCTAACCGAAATAATTAATGTTGGCCATTTAATGTTCCGATTTATCAATATGATCAATATAGGTCCACAATTGTTTTGGGCCATTTGGTTTTGGTATCTACCGTTCGATATTCAATATTTGGAGGATAGCTGATGGCCCGTATTAATTATGGTTATTTTGATTGAACTTTGGAAACAAATATTACGATGTGAAAAGTTTGGATTAAATCGAAGTGCTCCCACGGATACTTGTTGTGCGCAGGCAGACTTAAAGACGGACATTTGTAAATCGACTCCAAATTGTCTGAAACGGATTTGGTCCAAAAAAAGAAAACCAGCATTTCAGCATACTACAAATAAGGTAGATCCATGGTATAGCCTATATTCCACATTTTCCGGAAAGAAATATTTTAGGATCTACTAGGAATCTCTAATAAAACATTATAGGCACTTCGGTAGAATAATACAGTTAAAATCTTCAAAAATCGACAATTTTCTGCAACGGTATTTCAACGTTTCAAGAACCTGGAATGCCAAATTACAGGCAATTCGGTGGGAAATTTCGGTCCAGACCTTCAGAAAACCTGAAATGGATCGAAATATCTAAGGATGGGTGCCATAAGAAAACGTGGTTTTACACCTAGAACTCGGAATGCCAAATGAGAAATAATCGGTTAAAGTATTAAAAAAACCGAAAAATGTAGCCACCTTCATCTGGAAGCTAAGTCAAAACATGGATCTGCATTAAGAATTTTCTGAGAATTTTCTGTAATATAAAATTACAGCTTAAAAATACCATAAATTTGGTTGGAACCTATATCAACAATGTTTGGCAGAGATGTCACTACGTTTCAAAATCCGGTATGTCATTTTGGTGGGAAGTTAATATCAAGACCTTTGAAATCCTCAGGTCGGGGTATCTGTAAAGATGTTTTCTACATCTAAGAACCATAAATGCTTGAGTTTACCCTTCACGATGGATCGGAATCTCTGGAGAGATGTTATTTTCCCCCCTAAGAACCCGAAATGCTTATGCTCAAATGGAGGTCAAGATTTTCAAAATGACGAATAAAGGTAACGTTTTTATACCCTTTACCAAACTGTGGTACAGGATATTATGTCTATGTGCATATGTTTGTAACAGCAAAAGGAAACGAGTTGGTTCATGGTTCATTTTGAGAATGTGCATAGAATCACTTTCTGAGTCGATTTATGCATGTTTGTCCGTCTGTTTGTCCATGTTAAATTGTAAACAAAGTGCAGGTCGCATTTATTATCCAAATGAGATGAAATTTGGCACAGATCATTTATTTGTCCCAAGGACGAATCCTATTGAAATTGGTGAAAATCGGTTCAGATTTAGATATAGCTTCCATATATATTTTCGTCCGATTTTTTGTAATTGGTGCACCAAAGAGTGAAGTGTTGCCCGCTTCCTTTACTAAAGTTAATGGTCATCTATGCAGACGAAATGTTAAAAACTTAGTGAAGTCTCATTTAAAATACCGTGTCCTTTATATTAGAGCTAGGTCAAAAAATGAACCAATATCGAAATTTCTTTTCAAAGTATTGCTCACTTTTCAAGATTCTGGAATGCAAAATTGCAGCCAATTCGGTTGGAAAATTCTGTTTCAACTTTCAAATTACCAAAAATGTGATGGGTCCTGTATATGTGAAAACGTGGACCTATATTCATAATTTTCTCTCCCAAAAAATCCGACCTGCCAAATTACATCCCTAACTTTCTGATTTGATTTATGCCGAGTATCTGTCCCTCTGTCTGTCTCTCCATATTTTATTGTAAACACAAAGGTCGTTTTTATGATCGGAATGAGAGAAAATCCAAAGACTTTACGTTTGTTCGATTGAGACAAAATTCCTCACAGCGTATCGATATGTAATAAAGTGTTTTAAGTTTAGTTGAAATCGGTTCAGATTTAGATATAGCTTCCATATATAGCTACGTCGGATTTTAAGTAAATGGGGTATCAAGGACCTGAATTTTCTATAGAATAATCAGTATACATTTTTTATCCACAATTTGTTTAGAGAACTTTTTATACCCTCCACCATAGTATGGAGGGTATATTAATTTTGTCATTCCGTTTGTAAATCATTGAAATATTCATTTCCGACCCTATAACGTATATATATTCTTGATCAGGGTAAAATTCTAAGACGATCTAGCCATGTCCGTCCGTCCGTCTGTTGTAATCACGCTATCTTCTGAAGGAATTGAGATAGGGTGCTGAAATTTTGCATAGAGTTGTCTTTTGTCTGCAGGCAGGTCAAGTTCGAAGATGGGATACATCGGTCCACGTTTAGGCATAGCTCCCATATAAGGGTACCCCCCAATTTTTGGTATTTTGGGGTTCTTGACCGAGTTTTTCAACTGAATTCGCTGAAATTTGATACGTTGGGTTCTTATTGGGTACTAAGTGTCTCCACAAAAAATTATGAGTATAGGTCCACTTTTTCTGGTAGCCCCCATATAACGGCACCTTCTAATTTTCAGTATTTTGGGGGTTTTGATCGTATTTTTCCACCGAATAGGCTGTAATTTAGTATTTTGAGTTCTTAATAGGTACCAAATTTCTCCACTAAAACTTATAAATATAGGTCCATTTTTTCGGACAGCCCCCATGTAAGGGTACCCCCAATATTCGGTATTTTGGGGTTCTTGAGCACGTTTTTCAACCGAATTCGCTGCAATTTTGTATTTTGTAGTCGTATATGGTAACAAATCTCCCTACCAAAAATTATTTATATTCACCCCCTTTTTGGGGTAGTCCCCATATAACCCCCTTTTTATACCCTCCACCATAGTATGGAGGGTATATTAGTTTTGTTTTTCCGTTTGTAACGCATCGAAATACTCATCTAGCGTCTAAACGAATTGAGATATAGGCCCAAAATTTTGCATAGAGTCGTCTTTTGTCTGCAGGCAGGTCAAGTTCGAAGATGGGCTATATCGGTCCACATTCAGGCATAGCTCCCATATAAGGGTACCCCCCAATTTTCGGTATTTTGAGGTTCTTGAGCGTGTTTTTCAACCGAATTCGCAGAAATTTGGTACTTTGAGTTCTTATTGGGTAGCAAATATCCCCACTAAAACTTATAAATATAGGTCAATTTTTTCGGACAGCCCCCATGTAAGGGTACCCCCCAAGTTTCGGTATTTTGAGGTTCTTGAGCGTGTTTTTCAACAGAATTCGCTGAAATTTGGTACTTTGAGTTCTTATTGGGTACCAAATAAACCTACTAAAAATTATATATAAGTCCATTTTTTCTGGTACCCCTAATATAACGGTACCCTTAAATTTTCGGTATTTTGGGGTTCTTGAGCGCGTTTTTCAACCGAATTCGCTGAAATTTGCTACATTGGGTTCCTATTGGGTACTAAATTTCTCCACAAAAAATTATGAATATAGGTCCACTTTTTCTGGTAGTCCCCATATAACGGCACCTCCTAATTTTCAGTATTTTGGGGGTTTTGATCGTATTTTTCCGCCGAATTAGCTGTAATTTAGTATTTTGAGTTATTAATAGGTACAAAATCTGCCCACAAAAAATTATGAATATAGATCCATTTTTTCGGATAGCCCCCATATAAGGATACCCCCAATTTTCGGTATTTTGGGGTTCTTGAGCGCGTTTATCAACCGAATTTGCTGCAATTTGGAATTTTGTAGTCGTATATGGTAACAAATCTCCCTACCAAAAATTATTAATATTCGCCCCACTTTTTGGGGTAGTCCCCATATAACCCTCTTTTTTATATTAAAGTAGTTATCTGATTTGTTACGCGTTTTGAGTTTGGTTCTAAGACTCTGTTGTAATCATTTCACCTGCGGAGGATAGCGAGATAAAAAATTAGCCGCATTTAGACCTAGCCCCTGTGTGGAGGTACCAGAAAGAAGTGGACCGATATTCCCCATCTTCGAATTTGAACTAAGTTTGGAAGAAATAATAAGATGGGCAAAGTTTGAATAAAATCTAAATTTTTTGCAACGGATTTGGTCCAAAGAAACATGGGGTCTAGAACCAATATTTCGATGAGGCACATTTTCACTGTGTTAAAGTGTATACACCGTCATTAGCTGTAAGGCTGAGGGTATAATTATCCATTATTTCAAGGTTTGGGTTTGATTAGTTTCAAAAAAAAATGTTAAGTGGTTTTAATTTTGTTTGTGGCTTTGTGCCCTTAAAAATGATCGGATATACAACGTAATATGTTTTTTTTAAACTTTTCTATAAAACCAAGTTATGTATCAGAAAACAAAAAGGGACTTAAACTACTTTTAAAATTAGCGACCCTTTAAAGTGGTCGGTCCTGGGTTTTATTGTGTAAGGTCGATTATTTTATTTTGTAAATTATAAATTCAATTTGTGATTCATACACAACAACAACAACCCAATTGCCAGCCAACTTTAAATAAATAAAAACAGACATTATAACATCAACGTAGAAAATGTTGAAAATAAAAAATTCTGATATTCAAAACAAAACGCCGAAATCAAAATAAAAGCAACATAAAAAAGAATACAACAAAGAAGTCCATTAATAATATCAGAGAAATCAAAACAAAACAACTATTCGTTAAAAAAATAATTTCAAAACTTAACGAAATATTTCAAAATCCCTTAAGCGAATATTGAAAGAGTTGCTTCTAATTAAAGAGCAAATCTCTTTTTGTTATATTCCTCTCTTTACACTATAACATTTCTCTCTTTGTTTCAACTAAAAATTTACAGTAAGAAAATCTGAATGGAATTTATTTGCTGGCCTTTAAATTGTAATTATTTGTTGTTTTGGTATTTCCTCATTTTTCGTGATTTCCTTTTTATACAATGTCGATGGAACCATCAGTAGGCTTGCATGCTTGTTCTATTCGATCAACTGTCAAATGCAGTAAAATGAATTATTTCAAAAAGAAGAAGAGGAAAATCTCTTCCTAAGTTTTATGCGTTTGATGGCTGGCTGTGCTCGTTTGATTTGAGAGAAGAAGAAAAACAAAAACACTTTTCCGGATTTTTGTGGGTATTTTTTCTTCTTCTTCATCATCGTCGTAGACAAAACGCACAGTACTACACGGGCAGAGCAGTGTCCTCAGTAGTACCACCGACAAAAAACAGAACCGAACAGAACAACAATACTGCAAAGTCAACCACTTGAGTGTGAAAATGGTGTCTAAAAATAACCACATTTCTGGCGCTCCCACTAAACATTTTTAGCTTTTTATGTCGAATATAAAATAAATTTTTCCTTCAAAAAGAAAACTCTGACATACTAAAAAAATGTCAAATATAAAAAAAATAATAATAATATGAAATTTGTGTCACCTGCAGATTTCCAATGGACAGCTTTCTTGGGACGGCCACTCTGTGTTTGGTGTTGTAATTTTCCTTGTTGATTGCCCATAAAAAATATTCGTCAATATCTTTTCGTTCTAAATATATGTATAAAAATATATATATGTATAAAATTTTTATCTTATACTAGATTTTTTTTATATTTTTTCCACTAAAAATGCACTTTTCGTAATAAATTTTTTTCATTTATCAAAATTTTCGTTAAATTTCAGAATTTTTGCTTTTCAACACTGGAATTGAATGGCTGTAATTTTGTGTAACCCCACATTTTCACTGGTGAAAATTTCCACATAAATTTTCAATATTTCTTTTCTTCTTCTTAGAGATTTTTTTCTTTCGTTTTATGCGGTGGCACAGAGCGTTAAATAATACAACCGTTCGACGAACTCCGAGCAACGCAACACACTTTTCAAAATTATTTCATACTTTGGCTATGTCTCGATTCTATCGGTCCGGATGATCGTTTGTTGGCCATAAGCTACGCTAGCTGGCTCTTTGCAAAGGAGATCGATCGCATCACACATAGAACGAAGCGTAGGAAAATACTGAATGAAAATTTGTATTTTAATGGAAAATCTAAGAGAAATATTATAATGAATATAAAAAAGAGATTGGTGTTGCCCGATGAAAGGAAGAGTATAAATTCGTTAAGTTATTAATTCTCTCAAATATTCGAAGAGAATGGAAGAGCATCATTTTTGTTTATATGTTTTGTTTTGTACAAATTAATTAATTAATAAGGATGTTTACATTTGCATAAGTAACATATCCGAAATGATTAATGAATGTTACCTTGTGCCAATTAGAATTTCTGGTAAAAACGTCCGTCACTCCATCCAAAATTTCATCAATTGAGAACTGCTGAACCGACTTGATTCAAAATTTTCCCCAATTGTTGGAAATTATAGGGAGAAGGTTTTTACGAAAAAACAAAATTGGGAAAGATGTTATACCCTTCGCTACACTGTGATTCAGGGTATTATTTCTTTGTCCATATGTTTGAAACATACACAAGGAAGCGAAATAGTACAAAATTAAAAAATTCGCTGTTGGAAGCATATATTTACTGTGAAAAAAAATCATTTCGGGGGGGCCCGGGCCGCCCCCCTGCGTACGTCCCTGCCGCATAACGTTTTCAAAAATAAAGATATCGTGTTGATTTTTCAAAAAAGGCATGCTAAAATCTCTATATATATAAAAATTACATGTATCTTCGTGATCGCTAAACTCAAAAACTACTGCACCGATTTGGACCAAATTGTATATACATGCTCTATGGGGCGTGAGGAGTGTTTCTGTGTAGTTTGAAGTTCATCCGAGAGATGGCGCAATATTTAGTTTTTTTGTGGTTTTTCACCATAATTCAAGAACTACTGCACCGATTTTGACCAAACTTTACGTATATGCTCTATGGGGCATGAGTAGTGTTTTTGTATTTAATTTTAAGTTCGTCCGACAGATGGCGCGATATATAGCTTCTTTGTGTTTTGCCCGATTAGAGATTGGGTGCTTAATAGGCGTGTGCCGACGTTAAGTATTAAGACACCGACTCATACATAACCTGTTTTCGTGAAAAGGGCGTGGGAGTCAATCGAAAAAAGAATAACTTATCAATTGAAGTAAAATTAGTTTAAATGGTGGCAAAAAATGTATACTAACTCATCAATTGAGAACGGCTGGACCGATTTGACTCAAAGTTTCTTTCAGTTGTCGGTAATTACAGTAGGAAGGTTTTTATGAAAGAAAATTTTAAGAAAAATCCGCAAAAATGTTGCAAAAATTATCTTAAAGAAACGGCGGACGATTTGACTTAAAGTTTCTGTTAGTAGTCTGCAATTGAAGTGGAAAGGTTTTAACGAAATAACATTTCGAGAAAAATCCGCGAAAATGTTGCAAAATTTATTTTGAAAGATATTAGAATTTCCACACATTTTATATCGAACCTTTATGATTTCATCTCTTCGTAGTTCTTCTTGGATATATTTTGGGCGAAAATTGGCAGCGTATAATATCTTAAAGTAATTGTCATTTATGGAAAATTCTCAAAACAGGTTAATTTTCTAGATTCAATTGGATTGTCATTGCCTTGAATTATTATATATCTCTATCACTTCACTATCTATATAAAAATTACGTGTATGTTCGTGATCGCTAAACTCAAAAACTACTGCACCGATTTTGACCAAATTTTATGTACAGGCTCTATGTGTCGTGAGAAGTGTTTCTGTGTAGTTTGAAGTTCATCCGACAGATGGCGCAATATTTATTTTTTTTTGTGTTTTTGCACCGTAACTCAAGAACCACTGCACCGATTTTGACCAAACTTTATGTATATGCTCTATGGGGCGTGTTTAATTTTAAGTTCGTCCGACAGATGGCGCTCTATATAGTATATTTGCGTTTTGCCCAATTAGAGATTGGGTGCTTAATCTACGTTAAGTATTCCGACACCAATTCATACATAACCTGTTTTCGTGAATAGCGCGTGGGAGTCAAACGAAACGACTTATCAAATTGAAGTAAAATTAATTTAAATCTACTTATAAAAATTATGTAAAATACTTATAGTAACTCATCAATTTGAGAACGAAGGGGCCGATTTGACTAAACATTTCTTTCAATTATCTGCAATTAGTGTGAGAAGGTTTTTACGAAAAAAAAATTTGAGAAAAATACGCGAAAATCTTGAGAAACATATTTTGAAGGAGCGGCGGGACCGATTTGCCTACCATTATGTGGGACATATACCATATAGTAACACTATACCGACAATTTACAGAGAAGTTCATTACCCTACATTAAATACCGAATTAAAGGCAATTTCTAGGGTATTTGTTACAACTTTCAAAGTACCTAAAATCAGACCTTATCCAAAGATAAGGAGGCTTAAAAAACCAACACATGGCATTCAACAATGTAGGATACACCAAAATGTCAATTTAAAATGTTCAATAACTGCTACAAAAGATTACAAATACCTCAACAATTTAGGTGTCTAACTTATTTTTGCCTTTATTGTTCCTCAAATATATTTTCATTGAGAACGGCTGCACCAATTTGACTCACATTTTCCTACGGTTGTTTTTAATTGCAATGGAAAGAGTTTTTTTAATCGAAGAAAATTCTGCACCAATTTTGATGATTTCATTGTGATGAAAATAGGAATAGTAATTACGCCATCCGTACTAAATTATCTCTTGAGGTAAGAGTAGTTAGATCAAAACTTGACATTCTCCTGAAAAATGTTTGGTGGAAGTCCGACAAATTGATAAACTGAAATACCACACATGCTGACATAATTTAATATTTAACAGTAACAATATTTCTTAAAATATTGGGGTATCAGCAAATGAAGGCTTACCGTCGCGAGGAAAATATTATGCGTATTTTTTATATCGGAAATTTGACATAAATTAAATGGTAAATAGTTTCTGAAATATATTTTTCACGAATTCGTTAATTTTTACCAAACCTAAATTGATGCAATTCTGATACGTTTGCCGGGTCTGCTAGTCATAAATAAATAATGATTTATGGATAAGGGAATTGCCTCCATTTTTGCTTGGACAAAACTAAAGCAACTCTGTATTACTAACAGATGAGCTCTAAAATATTCATTATTTTTCGCCGTTACTTTTGCTTCCTTAAGAATCCTAAAGATCAGTTTTGATAATGACCAGTGATTGCGAAAATAATTTATCACAGAAAATTATTTTGGAGAAATAATCCATAAATAAATCCGCGATATCTCGAATTATAAGTTGGTTTTTTTCAACTATACAAGTAGTGATATAGTTGAATAAAACCAAATTATAATTTTTTTGCCACGAAAAAAAATCAGTTCGTACTTATCAACAAATTGTAAAAGTAGTAAAAAATACCCATTAAAGAGTTCAACGGAATTGTTAATTGCTTATCGTTGGATATAATCCCAAGAACAGAGTCTGGATGAGCTACGGTAGCAGGTGTACATGCCTGGATACCATAAAGAAAGCCCATTTTATTACTGAACAAATCGGAAAGCCAGATTGGCTTTCGCAAAAGCTTATATTCAATGGAATCCGACTCAGTGGATATTAATGGCACAGATAAGAAGAAAATTACAGTTAGAATGTCAACAAAATGAAATTCCCAAGCCTGAGTATTGTATGGATACTGGAAAGGTTGGAGGTCGGTAAAAAATGGTATTGGTCTATTTTTCTTTTTATGGAATTCGATATATTTACGAGATTTATGAAGTAATTGATCGCATTGTTTATACAAATGTGTTGGAAATCGCAATGGTTCCCTTAGCTGAAGAAAATATACCGCTTGTTTTGGTGTTTCATCTTGACAATAACCTCCAACATACATCCAAACATGTCAATGATTGGTTGCGGGAGTTAAAAATCAGGGCCAATGGCCAACACAATTATCAGAAATTCATCCTATGGCAAATTCTTTGGAGTATCATAGGTAGCAAAATAAAAAAATCAAAAACAGACAAACATAACCTCTTCCAAAAGGTCCAGGATCCAATAATCAAATTGAGCGTTTTATTCGTAGGTGTGCTGCCGTAATCAAAAATTATTTGACCAAGCGAATATTGGGTGAATTTAGTTTTCTATATAATATATATTTTATTTCAAAATAAATTTTGTGTTTATATTTATACCCTTCACCACTCTGTGCTACAGGGTATTATGTCTTTGTGCATATGTTTGTAACAGGTAAAAATAATGGAGATGGACCCATGGTTCCTTTTGAGAATATGCATAGAATCACTTTCTGAGTCGATTTATGCATGTCCGTCCGCCTGTCCGTCTGTAGATGTTAAATTGTAAACAAAGTACAGGTCGCATTTATAATCCGATTTGGATGAAATTTGGCACAAGTCACTTATTTGGCCAAAGGACGAACCCTATTGAAATTGGTGAAAATCGGTTCAGATTTAGATATAGCTCCCATATATATTTTCGCCCGATATAGGCACCAAAGTACCTATATATCTTTCGATTTGCACGAAATTTGGCATTGGGCACTGAATTAGGTCCAAAATGATGTGTGCTAAGTTTCGTGAAAATCGGTTCAGATTTAGATATAGCTCCCATATATAGTTTCGCCCGATTTAAGGTAAATTGTGTACAAAAGTCCCTATATATCTTTCG